GCTCCGCGGGGCTACCAGCGGGTCGGGGGCTCCTGCCCGTCTGTCAGTGGTATGGGGACCCCGCGAGGGCTGCCAGAGGGCCCGGGGCTCCTGCCGGTCTGTCAGTGGGATGCAGACCCCGCGAGGGCTGCCAGAGGGCCCGGGGTACCTGCCGGTCTGTCAGTGGTATGGAGACCCAGCGAGGGCTGCCAGAGGGCCCGGGGCTCCTGCCCGTCTGTCAGTGGGATGGAGACCCAGCGAGGGCTGCCAGAGGGCCCGGGGCTCCTGCCGGTCTGTCAGTGGGATGGAGACCCAGCGAGGGCTGCCAGAGGGCCCGGGGCTCCTGCCCGTCTGTCAGTGGGATGCAGACCCCGCGAGGGCTGCCAGAGGGCCCGGGGTACCTGCCGGTCTGTCAGTGGTATGGAGACCCAGCGAGGGCTGCCAGAGGGCCCGGGGCTCCTGCCGGTCTGTCAGTGGGATGGAGACCCAGCGAGGGCTGCCAGAGGGCCCGGGGCTCCTGCCCGTCTGTCAGTGGGATGGAGACCCAGCGAGGGCTGCCAGAGGGCCCGGGGCTCCTGCCCGTCTGTCAGTGGGATGCAGACCCCGCGAGGGCTGCCAGAGGGCCCGGGGCTCCTGCCGGTCTGTCAGTGGGATGGAGACCCAGCGAGGGCTGCCAGAGGGCCCGGGGCTCCTGCCCGTCTGTCAGTGGGATGGAGACCCAGCGAGGGCTGCCAGAGGGCCCGGGGCTCCTGCCGGTCTGTCAGTGGTATGGAGACCCCACGAGGGCTGCCAGAGGGCCCGGGGCTCCTGCCGGTCTGTCAGTGGTATGGAGACCCCACGAGGGCTGCCAGAGGGCCCGGGGCTCCTGCCGGTCTGTCAGTGGTATGGAGACCCCACGAGGGCTGCCAGAGGGCCCGGGGCTCCTGCCGGTCTGTCAGTGGTATGGAGACCCCACGAGGGCTGCCAGCGGGCCGACGGCGGTTCCCTGACGGTCAGCGAGCCGGCGGCTCCGGGCAGGGCGCGCTTAGCGCGCTCCTGACCATGAAGAAGGGCCGGGTTGAGGCTGCTGGTCACCGGTGGCCAGGTCACAGCCGACCGGTGGTGCAAGCTCCTCGAGTTGGAACGAACAGTGCCCGTTGGAAGTTTGACACCAGTCTGCACCCTGAGCGTTTCATTGCTCAAATATAAGGGTCCACATGACTCAAGCAATGTTTGTGTATGGTAACAAATATGTGCAACTAAAATCAAGAAATCGCTATTTCACATGCACGTTGTATGCGTATCTCGGAATTGAATGGCATGGAAAGTTAAGGGGTACACAATGACTGCTGCATTCAACGCGACATAACACACACACAATCATCAGAATGTAAGGTTAAAAGTAAAGATGGGTGGATAGGCTCGTATCTTCCTCTTATAATTGCAGCCAATTGCGGAACTGCGTCTGCCTGTTTTAAACATCGTTGATATGATTATATGTCTGTAGACGTAGCAAGACCCCAATGTCAATTACGCACGAAAATCGATTTAAGATACTGTCCTGTAGGTGTACGTACTCATGTAAGGTATTCGAGTACTTGATTTGACGATGTAGATGCTTGAAGATGACGTTGTTCGACATGCACGCCACTTACGTTTGGGTGACAAAACTATTCCACTGGGCGCCAAATCGCACATTTCTCCTGCACTGTCAGGTATCAAGCTGCATGCAAATAGGCTTAGCTAAAGACAATACTCGAATGTTGACCAACCTTTCACAGATATGAGCGCTACCACGAACTTGCCTACTTTACCGGTTACGAACTAAGAAAGCCTTGCTAAGCCCATGCATATAACACGAGTATGACAAAGATGGTGTTGCGTAATCGTATGATGCGATTATTTCTGCCGAATGGTCACGGTTGCGTGTCTTCTTGTGCTAGAACACAGTCGCGTGATACGACCCCATCCGACGTTAAAGTCACAGTGGATGTGGCGTCCGCTGGAAGGTACAGTTCGTCAAAATGCGTGCAGATGGCGCCGCCAGTCAGCGTCCAAAGCGTACGGGAACCGGCCTGCTATGCTGTGGTGCGGCGGTGTCTGAGCTTCTCGCCAGCGAAAGTTATCGGCGATGTTTACAGGAAAGAATACAAGCATAATCTGCGCTTATGATAAAGCTGCAAACAGCTGCGAGCTGCAAACCGTTTCATTTACCAATATGATCAGTCAATCTGGGTTAGTTTGAGCAGCGCAGAGACTTCGGGCCATGTAGGAGATGGCAGGACAATGCATTTAATGAGAGGGGTAAGAGGCAGGATAATGTTGCAGCCTTAGATATCACAACTGGTCGAGGGAATATATATATATATATATATATATATATATATATATATATATATATATATTAAGAAACCCACTCACTCCAGAGGTGTCAGTGTTCCTCTGGACCAGATGTGATATCTAAGGCATATGCACATATAGCGGAACTCTCAGGAATCCTGGCCGAGCGGTGGATGACCCATTGCAGGTGTGCGGGCGAGGGTGGGCCGAGGCTGCCCGGCGCCTCGTCTTCGACGGACGGCTGACGTGGAATCCAGGCTGGCGAGATCTGCGAGGATGTAGAGCTTTGCGTGCAAGGAATGAAATGGAGACAGCCACTGTCACTAAAAGCCGGCATGCTTCATCAATGGCCAGCAGATGCACGCCAATTTTGTGTTGAGGTTTATGGATACCATGATATCGTGTTTGCATTTGTCTGGAAAAGGCTGGCGTAATGAAGACTGTCTCCTTTTCCTGGGCACATCTGCGGTTTTGTGAAGGTCGAGGGGCGCTTGCGCATCGCTTCGAGTGTCCGTGGGTGTGACCGGCCGTTACTTCAAAGACAAGACACGCGCGCCCTTAAAACCGCTCTTTGGTGGTCCGCTTTGATGCCGGCGAGCTCATTTCAGACAGCGAAGTAAAGGGCAGTGCCGGGCTGCCTGCGGGTATGCCGGAAGCATTTAGTCACCGTTTCGAAGTTAATGGTCAGTTTACGGTTCAATTCGGAATGCATTTTGTAACAGCCCCGTGAGGCCACCCGCACCTGCCGTTCATTCTGTTAAAACTAATCACAACCGTTATTGGGAGCTGAATAGGGCTGCTATGCGTGCCACATGGAACCTTTGTTCCTGTAATGCAGTCGATATGTCTTTTGTTCCTGCGCGTGATTTATGTGTCACAATATTACGAGGGCACTTCGGTTTTATCGGCGGCTGCCCGCATAGTATGGCCGCTTGGGTCGTGCCTCTTCGGGCTGCCCGTACTGGATTGCACCGAAATAGAAACGGTCTTACACTCGTGCCAGGATCAGTCATGCCCTGCTTCAATTTAGGAAGAACCAAAACGGCCAGATCTCTTTATGTGATGTGACATCGTGAAATGTGGATTACTGGACTCATAGATGGAGAGTATTATAGTATGATTTATTATCAAAGAAAGCCCATTGAAGTTTGAGTTTACAAAAAGGCATACTCCGCAAGTAGCTTGAACATTTTTCTAGAACAAGAACCGACCGTTTGCCATAGTGACAGGAAAACCTTGCCTGTCCGCTGGGTGTAATATCTTCCTGACAATTTGCTAAGCTCGTGAGAATCAATGCCACATAGTTACTCTCCCCATTCTCCTGCAGTGCCCTTGGACGACCTTGGCCGCTGCTGTCTGTGCGTCTTCGTTTGTGTCCCGTCGCTGGTTCGGTGCGGCTGAGCCAGCACGCCGCGCTGCACAGCTCGTGGCAGCTGACCTGGGTGGCGCAGGACATCTTGACCTGATCGACCTGTTCGGTTGACCTGACTGACCTGCGGCGGCTGGTTCGACTGGTCTCTCTGGTTGACCTGACTGGCCTGTGGCGGCTGCTTCGACTGGTCTCTCTGGTTGACCTGACCGACCTGTGGCGGCTGGTTCGACTGGTTTCTGGTTGACCTGACTGACCTGTGGCGGCTGGTTCGACTGGTCTCTCTGGCTGACCTGACTGACCTGTGGCGGCTGGTTCGACTGATCTCTCTGGTTAACCTGACTGACCGGTGGCGGTTGACGAGACCGATACGTTTGGTCGATCTACCTGGCTGATGGTGGCTGATCGGAGCGTCCGGCAGGTTGCGGACCCGGCGGGCCGACGCCGCTCGTGTCATCACCGCTCGTTCAGGACTTCTGCGGGCCAGGCCGTGTGACCCGCGCCGGCTGACCTGTTGTGACGGCTGTCATCTGTCTGCCGCAGACCGGTCGGTGCACCTGGGTCACCAGGGCAGCCAGAAGGTGCGACGCGACGGGCTGCCCCTGCTCGCCTGGGAGCCGTACTTCTGCGTCCTGCTGCAGGACGAACAGACGCTCACCGCCTACCGCAGCGAGGAGATGGCGGTGAGTACCCCAGCCGGGCCAGGTCAGCTCAGGCTGACCCACACCGCCTACCCCAGCGGAAGACATGGCAGCAAGATGGCGATGCAAGACGCGCGTTTTCACACGCTCACCTTCCGATTTTGCATACCGCCACGAATGTGTCAACCTGAAAGACACGGCGCGTGGACACGTGTGCCGGCTCAAAGGCATCATTGAGGAAAAGCTATCGTGCTATACGCGTCGGGTTGGAAAGGACTGCTGCGGCATAGCTCACTCTCTCTCTCTCTCTCACTGTGGAATCCAACTATGTGCCAAGGCCTTACCGTGCTGCCAGGCTGCAGTTTACCCGGTATATCGCGGTACGTGAGTGGCTTAACCAGGTGTTTTGTACGTTCATGACTTGGCTGGCCATAGAAACACGATTTAGTGATCTGACTAGTCGGTCCTACGGTGGATTTTGGCGCATCCACGAATGCCTCGCCGCCGGCGCCTCCATGGCACCTTGCCTGTGGCGTTCAACGCTCGCTTAAATGTCGTTACCTGGGCCAATTATTGGCGTCCTCGCGCGGCATAAGGCAGAACGCTCGCATGCACATCCGACCAACCAGACCGCGGCAGACGGGCTCTGTTCGTGCCTTATTTGCCTCGTGAAGGTCGGGAGCATGGGAGCGATCCCACGTGGTGTGCCGGTCGTGTGAGCTTTCGACGCCCGCACCCATAAAGGACGTCGCATCACCCCGAACGGAAACAGGCCCGCACCCGTCCGAGATACCAGTCCGAGACTGGTGCCGTCACGGCTTAATCCCGGCCGGCAAGACTCCCGTCGGCAGAAGCGAGACACGTGAGGATTAAGACAAAACGCGTAGAGGGCCGTGTCGCGCCCGGCATCAAGGCTAGAAGGCCGGCCAACGTCCCGAGACGCTTACGAAGCCGGTACGGTAACGAGCCAGTTCGTAATTGGCGCCGCTATTGCGGCCGAGGCCGCGGGCAGACGGACAATGCCGGTCACGGCTGCACGGAGCGGCCGGCGCCGCCGCGGTGCGCAGGTTTCGCCGTCATCCGCCGCGGTGCGCCGGTTTCGCCGTCATCCGCCGCGCAACAGCGAGCGTCTGTTTTTGCGGCCGTCGGAGCGTGACCCTAACGGCCGTCGCTTTCTTCCGGGGCGCGTCTGTCCGGCCGCGGCCGTGTCATCGCTTTGTGATTCGTCTCCCAGTCATGTCGCAACGCAAGCAGCGCGCTAATGCGGCGAGATCACGCACTGGAGCGGCGGCGGACCGACCCGGCGCGCGGCCGCGACCGCCGGCCACCCTGAGGTCTCGGCCCGGCCCACCAGGGACGGCCGGCGGGGTCCGCTCGCTCACCAGACGCTCGTCACTGCAGGGGCAGGGCCCTGTGTGAGCACTGCACTGCAGTGAGCGAGGTGATGAGTGAGCAGTGAACTGCTCACAGCAGCGGACCATGCCGCTGGTCCAGTTGAAGCGACAGGTTTTGATTTTTGTGTTTTGAAAAGCTTATAATCTACAGACGTTTTAAGTGACAAACCCGACTACTAAGTCAGAGCTCATATTAGTATGCACAGGTGCTGAACCGTCGTTTACTGGGTTACGCTTCGTAATCGCGAAGGGCGGGCTTTGTGGACTGAATTATGTGATGCATGATGCCAACTTCTATGTCCTATATGAATTATGGTACGAATCTCGCAACTGACTAACCTGCTCTTTGCACTTGCACACTGATGGGCTTGCGAATGGGAGAGCTTACTAACCCACCTGCTGGCCACTGGTGATCTTCCGGCATGGGTCTGTTCATGGTGACTTTCTAAACTAAGTGGCCTGGCTCTAATGACACCGTCACCGACTATCAAGTCGGAGGCCTCCTGGCCCCGCAGGGTGCACGCGGGGCCGGCACCGCTCTCCTCTGGGCCGGCTGCCGGCCCCGCGCGCTGCGGCGCTGATCGGACGTGCCGCGGTTCAGCTCTGTGGCCCTCTCCGCAGATATTCCCGCTGACGCCGCGCCGCCCCCGGACGAGGAAGGTGGGTGGCACGCATGTTCGTCCGTGTCGTCCCGTGCCGTGCCGTGCTGTCCCGCGCCTCGCCCGGCGACCTCACGCCGCGCGCCCCGCATGATCGCCGCGCGACCTTGGCTGCAATGCGCGGCGGCGCGGCCGGCGCCGGTACGCCCTCTGGCAGCGTCGGCATCACTGCAGACGCCCGCCGCTTGGTGGGCGCCGGCGCGCCTCCGCGCCGGTACGCTCTCTGGCATCGCTCAGCTGACATGGATTGGAAAAGAATAGTCGCGGCTGACCAATGCCGAAGGTCGTCTGGGATATCCGACGGCCGCTGACGCTGCCCGCCGCTGGGCCGAGTCACCCGAGCGCTGCCGCTGTGGCCGCGCCAGCCGACCGCCTGAGCTAGCTGTCCTCGCCGGTGTCCGTCCACCGCTTCGCTGCGCCCGCCGAGCGCCGAAGCAGGGGCTTGTAGAGCACCTTATTGCCGAAGTAGCAGCGGCAGTTGGCCCAGCTTTGTAAACCGTCCAGTTGAACAGAGGAATTCGTGACGTATGTGAAGCTTTTCCCTCTACTCATCACATGCACGTCTCTCACCCTTCCTCCCTCCCCCCTCCTTCCCTCCCCCCTCTCCTCCCTCTCTCTCTCTCTCTCTTCTCTCTCTCCTCTCTCTTCTCTCTCTCTCTTCTTCTCTCCTCTCTCTCTCCTCTCTCTCTTCTCTCTCTCTCTCTTCTCTCTCTCTCTCTCTCTCTCTCTCTCTCTCTCTCTTCTCTCTCTCTCTCTCTCTCTCTCTTTCTCTCTCTCTCTCTCTCCTCTCTCTCTTCTCTGTTCTTCTCTCTCTCTCTCTCCTCTCTCTCTTCTCTCTCTCTCTCTCTCTCTCTCTCCTCTCTCGCTCTCTCTCTCTCTCTCTCTCTCTCTCTCTCTCCTTCTCTTCTCTTCTCTCTCTCTCTCTCTTTCTCTCTTCTCTCTCTCTCTCTCTCTCTCTCTCTCCCTCTCTCTCTCTCTCTCTTCTCTCTTCTTCTCTCTCTCTCTCTCTCTTCTCTCTCTCTCTCTCTCTCTCTCTTCTCTTCTCTCTCTCTCTCTCTCTCTCTCTCTCTCTCTCTCTCTCTCTCTCTCTCTCTCCTCTCTTCTCTCTCTCTCTACTCTTCTCCTCCTCTTCTCTTCTCTCTCTCTCTCTCTCTCTCTCTCCTCTCTTCTCTATTCTCTCTACTCTCTCTCTCTCTCTCTCTCTCTCTCTCTCTCTCTCTCTCTCTCTCTCTCTCTCCTCTCTCTCTCTCTCTCTCTCTCTCTCTCTTCTCTCTCTCTCTCTCTCTCTCTCTCTCTCTCTCTCTCTCTCTCTCTCTCTCTCTCTCTCTTTCTTGCCACTCTGTCAAGACACCACTGCGTGCACAGCGTGAACTTCCAACGCAAAATTCCGTCGCCTTTGCTTTGAGGGCCAAATAAGGAATAACTCTCCATCCCAGTCATGTTTCCCATCGTTTGTGTCGCATGCATGCACTTTCCTTGTATCAATGCAAGTTATTTACTAAACGCAACTGAATGTACGCCTGATAAATAACAAATGCTGAGCTGGGCTGCATGCACAAACAAATGGCTGCGTCAAATGCATGAGTGAAGCGAGGTTCACCACCCGAACGCCGGCACACGACGCAGTAATGCCAGCATGTTCGTATCACTCTTATTGACGTCGTACAGCGTAGCCTGGCGTCTGTGTGGAGATAATGCGCAGAGCTCGTGCCGCTACAGAGGGTGGGGCGCTGTCCTGTCAGCCGCCTGTTTTGGTCCGAACGGGCCATCCTTGAGGGATCACCCCTCGAATTAGCATCGGCCGGTTGGGTGTGGCACTGGTGCCGGCTCCAGTCGTGACGTGTTGCTGCGATAAGTGGCGTTGACTAACTATCGGACGGAAATGACCGCTAATGTTGTGGAAAGCCGATGACGGGAAGACGTCCTGCTATCGGATTATCTCTTGCATGAGTATCCGTAGATATGATCGCGGTCAGAAACTAGCTGAAGTTGAGCCCGGGAGCTGAATGTTTTAGAATCTCGACTTCGTTTGGATGCACCCGTCCAGAGCCCTCCTCGCCGTTCGTCGGTCGGCCGTTGCTGGTCTCACAGGTCCCATTACAAAGAGGCTACTACTTTCGTCAGGCTGTGTTGATGCTGTCCATAAACAGCTCCATCTTGTTGGGGTGCTTCCCCAGCCGCGGCAGTCCATCGGTGTTTCGGGGGGAGTCCCCGCGAGTTCACTGGTGTCACAGCTCGGAGGCAGACCTCCCGGACAGTCACACGGCCAAGCTTTGCATACATTGGCTCGGCGTTTCTTGGAGCTCACGCAATTAGTATGGCAGCTTCACCGGCAGGCGCGTGGATGTGGAGACTTGCTGTCAATAAGTACTGAGGGAAATGCGGCCTGGTCCCGATCCCTTTGGCTGCCCCAAGCGAACTATGCGAATAACAGACGACCGATATTTGATGCTGGGATACCAGTTAAATGAAGGTGGCCTTCAAGTTTGGTCTCTGTACTTTAGACGCATGGGACCTTTTTCGTGGATCGTATGGGCCTGGGCCTTTTTGAAGGAACTTTGTCCGTGCCTCGCCATGAAATGAATGATGCACCTTCCCGTCAAGACAGGAGGTGGGTGAGTCATGCCCCCTCCCCACGTTCCTACGACTGTGCTGTACTGATGGAATGAGATACAATCGCGACATGTTCTCCTGGCTCTCCCCCTGTAGTTATATCAGTTCCACGACGTGGCAGGGCGCAGTACAAGAGGCATTAACGAACTCAGTCCTTTTCAAGCTTATGCTCGACTCGGAAGGAGTCGGAATGTATTCTAGGTTCCACTTAATTCTCGTTGAGTATACGTGAAATCGGTTCCTTTTAAAATACGCATAAGTTCGAGTTGGTCTTGCTTGAACGTATTTAATGCCAATCATCGACGAATAACCCAACTCAGCACGAAGTATCAGCAGTGACATACATCATTGTCATGCCAACTCTTACCTTTACTGGAAACTGGATCATATATCATGCTGCTATTTTGTTCTCGAATAGGTGTTCTATGCAGACTCTTATGCATCCCGTGAAATGATTTGGAGCCCAAACTCCTGTCTCCGTAATTAACGTCATCGGAGTCGATTCCGGAATGGGGCCAGGTATCCTCGAGTAGAAAGAGAAAAGTTATGCTCTGCTGATCGGAGTCCGTCAGAATCAGCCCACACACCGCGCCAGCCAGAGTCGGAATCGCTTCCGGCGAAGCGGAATCAGACACCGTCTGGTTCCGTTGCATCCATCTAATTGTTATTTAACCAAGCCTGGGTGCCCAAGCACGTGCAGCCGACGTTACGTCACGGACCGCACGCTGTAATGTCACGGACGCATGAAGGGTGTCCAGCTGCTCAACGTTTGCCGTCACGTGATGTCATAGCACGCAGTGTGAAATGCGCCATTGTCTTGTGCCGTGGATGTTTCCGTTGCGTGTTCCTAACTCGTGCCGTTGTGTCCGGCTTGTCGTGCCGCCTCAGGCCCCGGCTTTCTTTTGTGGTGTGCCCCACGCCGCTCCGGTGTCGTCCGGAAGTCCCCCGGAGCATCGAGCGGGGGGGAGGGGGGTCGCCCGGTATCGCTCCGTGCCCCTCGGGGTCATGGCCATCATCACCAGTGGGAGAGCGTTTGGCGGTCTCACTGCGCAAGCGATATGCAAATCGCAAGTACCTGATGCGATGCTTTCGTTATTCTTCCGCAAGGGTCCTGACACAAAGACACTTGCGACGCTCGGGCATGCTTCCCGGACGTGTGAATGTGCCGTCCGCCTTGCGCGACGTGCGTACGTCGCCAGGTGACCTGGGAACAGGAATGTCACGGCGACTAAATCTTGTTAAATTGACCGAAGACTTGTAACACGACTGAAACTTTTGCATTATATTTATTTAAAAGTAGAGCGGTGAGGTTATTGTGTTACGCAATGTAGAGCTGTGGTGCGCTGTTCCGTTATTACCTGGTTGTACACACTTCAGCCATAGGGTGTAATTGGTTTCAATCAATGTGTTGCGATAATTGCTGGTCTGGACCATGGCTAAACTTGATGGCTGCAAGAAAGCGGGAACAAATTGGTCAGTCATAATATGTCCGTTTACTTTTACCAGAAGTAATTAAACCTTTTCCAGTCAAATGTACACCTCGCCTGACCCACGTATCTACTAGCGGGGAATTAAGCGCCATCACAGCCGTTCCACCGCTTCATAACTCCGTCTCGATGGTCACGTACACAAGCGGGCGGCGTGTGACGCAGCAGGGCCGTGTGAACACCGTGAGAGGGCGTGCAGCCGGGGGTCGGCGGGCTGGCCGGGCTGGCCGGGCTGGTGTGACGCCGGCGGGGTCAGCGCCGGGCGTGTCGGCTGGCGGAAGCACGCCAGGTGCCGGCCACAGGGGCGTCGTCTTCTGACGGCCGCACGCACGTGTCAACGCTGCGTGGGCTCGCCGAGTGTGACGTAACAGAGCCGCCGGCGGGAGGGCGGGCGCAGCTGGCGGCCAGGGACCGGTCTGGAGACCCGCTCCGACCCGCGGACGGCAGGCGGGGCTGACCTGAGGTCAGATGTCGCTGCGGCCGGATCGGAGCTGGCCGCTGGCCGGTGACGTCAGCCCTTCCGTCCGTGACGGCTCCGGCTCCCTCAGGCGTTGACCGGCCGTCTTGCCTCGGCTCTGCCGTGTGCTGACTCCTCCCCCAAGCACCTCCTGGCCTCTCTCCTGCGAGCACCACATGGCCTCACCCCTGCGAGAGCCACCCGGTCTCTCCCCTGCAAGCCCCATCTGACCTCCCCACGGCAAGCACCACCTGGCCTCTCCCCGCGAGCAGCATCTAACCTCTCCCTGCGAGCACCATCCGAACTCTTCCCTGCGAGCACCACCTAACCTCTCCCTGCGAGCACCATCCGAACTCTCCCCTGCGAGCACCACCTGACCTCTCCCTTGCAAGCACCAGCTGACCTCTCCCCAGCGAGCACCATTCGCCCGCGGGTCATCGAGTC